ATATGCTGACTCTCTGTAAACCGCTTAGAGAGGCCTGAAAGGCCTATGAAGCGGTATATAAGTCTACTGCTATTGCTATTGCTATTGCTAACCTGCTGAGAGAAGGGAGGGGGGGAAGGATGGTATTTGTAGTACGACAACACTTTGCAAAAAACCTGGGTGGCGGGTACTCAAATGAATCAAAGAAGAGTGATAGGGGAAAGACAGAAGATACACAAAAGGAAAAAGAAGAAGAAAAAAGAGAATCTAAGAATAGGAGACAGAAGGAGGGGAAAAAAAACCTGAAGAAAAATATCAAAGGGAGCAAGAGACGAACTGATAGAAAAGGGTTAGGAAAGGAGAAAAACGAAAGAGAGAGATATTGGTAGAGAATGAAACATGTGGATACGGTGGATGACGTATAGCTAAACAGAATATTATTGTCAAGTGTGTGGATAACCAATTAAGTGACATGCCTATTGTATTAAAATGAAATTGGATGATGATATAGGCTTGCCTACTAAAACTAGAAATAATAACTGGGGAATGAAATGATAAAACGTTGACGTTATTAATCGCGGAAGGGCGAAAAACGATGATGTTTATTTGTGAAGAGAAATCAAAATGCGATAATTTGGAGAGAAAACGTGGGGCCGAAATTCGAAACGACGTGATGTAAAATTAGTGATGTACAAGAGGAAATGTAAAGTGGGAGAAAAACCCCCCGTCAATGTTCGCAAAGAGGCTTTGGAGTTTGTAACAAAACATTTTTAAAATTTGAAGCCGGGTGGCGGGAGATTCATTTCACGACCCCCAAAGGGACCAAAACCGGCCCCGAAAGGCTCACCTGGATTAGGGGAGGGGCTGGTTTCCTCCCGCCGCGCTTCGCTGTTGGTGGGTAGCGACCCACTCGACCCGCCGGGCACCATCCCCATGGGCTGCCCCATGACCAGGCCGTGCTCCTCGCCTTTGTCGTCGAAGCTGCCCATCAGGGCTTTGCGGATGATGTCCTCCAGGCCCAGGTTGCTGGCGGGGTCGGCTAAGGAGGGGCCTCGGGCGCTCACCGAACCTGGAAGGGAGAGGCGGAAGGATGAGCCCACGAGGGAAAAGGGGGCGAGGATCCTACAAGAGACCCCTCCCAGCCCTAAAGGTTTGGAAAGGGGGGGGGGGGCTTCGGTCTCAGATGGGATTCAGATTTTGCAGGCCGTCCTCGACTTACAACCTCGATCAAGTGGTCGGAATAGAGCTGGAAGGGGCCTTGGAGGTCTTCTACCAGCGGTCCGTGCTATTTACCGTATTTTTCGGACTATAAGACACCCCTCTCCCCCCCCAAAAAAGAGGGTGAAAATCTGGGTGCATCTTCTACACTGAATACAGCATTTTTGGCCTCCTGAAACCCCGCCCCCTTTGTGAAAATGGCCATGCAGAGCCTTTAGGAGGCTTCCAGAGGGCTCCTGGGGGCTGGGGAGGGCAGAAATGAGCGAAAAACTGCCCCACCCTCCAGCCCCCAGGAGCAGCCTATAAGCCTCCCAAAGCCTCCAAGGGCCTTTTTTTTTCAGGGCATATGTAGCTTCTAATGGCCAATAGATGAATGGCTGTATCTCAAGGACTACTTCCATGTTTAGTTAATAGGAAAGAAAGAAAGAAAGAAAGAAAGAAAGAAAGAAAGAAAGAAAGAAAGAAAGAAAGAAAGAAAGAAAGAAAGAAA